AAGAGTGTTTTACTGCGCTCTCAACTGCATAAGGTCATATGAGCACGCGGAACACATTAAATATTTTCAGTTGGTAGGAAATTTTGATTTTTGCCCTAGTGGCGGCCGAAGCCTTCTCTCATCGATTTTGGACCCCGCAACTTGCACAGGGACCTTCAAGATTTTTCGCCCTTGTCCGAAAAGGCTAGGTGTAGATCGTTCCTACCATACGATCAGGGTGAGGCTGAAAGACAGCAGTAAGAAGGGGCCAAGGATTGCAGTGGAAAGACAGTAGTAAGAAGGAACCTTGAGGTGGGAACAAAGGAGGTGAGGGGGTGGAGGCTGAAAGTAGAGCTGTACCCGGTAGCAAACCCGCTCGTGCTCGCAAGCCCCTAGTTCAAGTTACAAGCCTCAAATCACTATGTCAAATAATCAAATCGAATCACCAGCATGATAAGTTGAGTCTAGCCTAAGCTTCAAGTCCACACCAACTGGCAATCCGCGAAGCCGCTCGTGTCAGACCCCCTCATCCTCCCCACCCTGCTTGCAATCCGCGAGGCAATTTACGTTAGAAAGAGAGGGGGGGGGAGAGAGAGACCCCGCTCACAGAGTGGAGGATCTGGAGTCTCTTCTCGATTAATCGAAGGCTTGCGAGCAGCACAGCAAGCCACTTGCCTCCCTTGACTTGCTTTGTGCCCCATGACTAACTCGCAGCCCGGCAAGTCTCTTGTGTCCCATGATTTGCTTTGCCTCCCATGACTTGCTCGCAACCTGGCAAGCCACGTGCGGTAGCAGCGAGCAGCAAGATCGCTCGCAGTGCGAACTCTGGACCCTGGAGGAAGGGAGAGGCTGTGCTTGTTTTGGTACAAGAAGTAGAGAGCCGAAGCTATGTTTAACTTCGCGCCCTTGATCAGCTGAGCGAGTGGATGAAGGGAGAGGAAGCGTGTTATTGTAGTAACATAGACCTTGCTAGGTCTCTGATTGTAATAAGTTGACTTAGATTACCTTAGAATGGAAAACTCCAGGGGTAGTTGAGATTGGCTTTTGTATCGTATGTATGTAGTCTATTTAGTAGATGTTTTACATTCCCAATGACATAATACAGAAAATTTAGGAGACAGGCAAGGTCCATTTCAACCTAATGTCAGGGTCAACCTGGGCTCAGGGGAAACAACGCCCCAGCAGAAAGACGGAGGTTTTCAGTAAAAGTTTATCCCCATACGGAAATCAAACTGAGGTCTTTTGCGTGCGACGACCCTTGGCCCCTTGCATATTTTTTTTACGGCCTTTGCATCATAAGAATAGCCGATCCATTATTAAGTCTAAGTGCATTGGATAGAGCTTTTTCTTTTTTACAACCCGACTATGGAAAAAAACAATCTTGCACGTTTGGTGCAAGCCTCTCAACGCAAACAACCAGAATTGTCCGTAATTAACTGAGCCCACGAGAGTTCGCGACGTCACGACACAGTACAGCAAGACTGTCCGCCAGTCACAACTCACCGGAAGTTCTCCCCGGTAGCGAGCGGGAGGCAAAGCAAAGCACAAGCCTGTTCGCAAGCCTCTGGCGCAAGCTGTCCGCTGCTCGCAAGCCTTCGATTAATCGAGCAGACTCCAACTCAAGCTGAAAGTGAATATGGAAGCAGACGACAAAAAACATTGCTAGAGAGCAGGAAAGGAGATAATTTTAGAGAAATAAAATCCCTGTCTCTATCTGAATTCATACCCGGGACCTATTAAATGAGAGGAGAACACCTTAACCTGTGGGCCACGAGAGCCCCCTTTTCAACTCAAAGCGTGTTTCCACCGTATTAGGTTAAAAACGTTTTGTGTCTCTGAATTGATGTTGTGTTCAAGTTTTGTTATTAATTTGATGATATATTGACAATTACACTTGATCAAACTACAAAGAACCATCTGCATTTAAATTCTTTTATCAATTCTGGAAGAAAGAAATAACGTTTTTCCATGGAGATAAATGACTAGCCTGTGTCGTGTTAGGCTGCACATAGTGTAGTCAGTGTTCTACTCTAACAGTGTACCTGACAAATAAGGTATAAACCTTTTTTTTCATCTGAATTACTGTCACGGTATTTTCACCCGTAATTACAACTGGTCATACTATAATACATTTTAAAAAACACTCAACACAAAATTTTGAGCATTTCTGGTAAATAATAAGATAACAATTATAACATGTTTTCCAACCCCGAAAAAATGTTTTGGCTGGTTTGACTGATATACGTTTTGATTTGGAGGCACGGTTTTACTTCGTGTTTGTCACCAGGGGCATGTACCTGGTGGTGATCGTGGTGATGTGTTGTTTCTCGTACATGATGATGTACCCGCCCTACAACTACGGGATGATATCCTTGGTGGTGAGTGGCTTGTTATTACGTGTCGTATTGTCAAAGTAAACCGGCACACATACAAACTAACACACACACACACACA